AAGTGCAGCTTTTTCATCTCCCACCTTTAAAGCATACATCTACGGAAAAAACATCAACTTTCAACAAAGTCTGAACTACAACCAAAAAATCTTCAATCGAAAACACACCAGAAATAGCCTGAGTCATTTTGCGGTCATGTAATAGTAGTAGCGAAAATCGGAACGGAGAATAGTCAACTACAAATAATTGCACACCAATCTACTAAATAGTCACCATATGTAATAATTATGTTACAGTTTGTTCCAACATCAGTTAACAAAGGAAACAAAAACGGGTCAATCGCAACTGAAAAAAAACGAAACAGTTATCAAACGAAACACTTTGCTAACAGGCATGACATAGAAAGAAAATGATAAAAAGTACAACACAACAGAAAAGCTGTCTTATTTTCTGTTATATTATCCTATTCTTAATGATTTCAGAAAGATTAATATCAAAAATCATAATTCAGCTAAGTTTCATCCCCGACTTCAAATACAACGCGCATATACGTGCTGTCTAAAAAGTTGCTGTGTGACACTGAGCCGTCGGCCCGTGGTCAAATCCCAGTCGCGGCGCGAAGCTGTAATGTTTCTTCCACCGACGTTTTGGGGTTGACTCTTAGTCGCTGCCATCAGCCTGTCACCCAGTCGATCGGTGGTTGTCGCTGCCCGGCAGAATCCCTTGGTCACTGTACCAATATGTGACACTGGCTCGTCCAGGGTCAAGTCCTGGTCGTCGATGATAACGGCGTTACAACAGCTGCAACCGGTTCAATACCAGCTTCCTATTTGCCTCGGCAAGGCATTTCTTTACAATATTAATCAATGTGTCAAAATCTCACATATGGCTTTTTCTACGGGTCTACTGTCGGAAATAAAATAAAATCTTTTTAATATCGAACGGTATATCTTTCGGGATAAATTATTTCCGCCCTCAGTATTTCTTGTTTTAATTTCTATGGTTAATTAGTTAGCCAATTACCATAGCTAAAAAAAAGTGTCGCAGCTGGAAGAATGGTCGAATTATTTTATCGCTCGAGAAAATACCTCTGCTATGGTTTATCTTTACAAGAGTCATATCAGACAAGAATGAAGTATTGCCGCCATATATGTACTGCCCAGCCTAGACCAGAGTTCAAAAACGCTTGCGTCACCTTGTGAGTGATGAATTACTCTTCGCCCTGCAATCCTTATTCCACAAAGGAAACGTCGTCAGCCTTTCAGTACTATAGATATTCGAAGGATTTATATTCCGTTGCTCCATCATCTCAGATCTTTACAGCTCTGAACCGCCATGACAAACCATCACCGTTTCCTTCGATTTCCTTTAATAAATAAGAAAGTTCCACTCAGACAGCTTATTTCCCAGAGAATGCGTCCCTGAAAATTACAATCTTGGTATCTTTATGTCCATGTTCAACCGATATCTCTTATGCTGATCCTCATAATACTCTCTTATATATCCCTCCCTTACAACCACTCTTCGTAAAGCTCTACCTTGAGTGGTCCTTTGTCTTTGTATTTGATGAACTATAGTTAGAAATACCCCCCACACACAGTTACGACATAGGTATCTTTGTGAAACAAATTTCCGGGAGAATGCTTTCTTGACGACTACAATCTTGGTCTCTTTAAGTGCCGGGTCAACCGATATCGTACTCGTCTTCATAATATTCTCTTACTTCCCCACCTTCCTTTACAATCTCTTCCATGAAAACTCTACCTTGAGTAGCCTTTGGGTTTTTGTATTGGGTAAAGTATTATTTAAAAAATTGCGCACATACACAAAACAGACAGCTACTTTGTGAAACAAACTCTTATGACAATGCTTCCGTAACAACTAGCATTTTGGTCTCTTTGAATTCAAGTTCAACCGATATACCTGGTGTAAGCGCAAAATTGTCCAAATTGCATGAATCGTGTCCAAATTGCATGAATCGTGTCCAAATTGTGTGAATCGTGTCCAAATTGCATGAATCGTGTCCAAATTGTGTGAATCGTGTCCAAATCGTGTGAATCATGTCCAAATCGTGTAAAAGCAAAGTTTTCTGTTTCTCTTAATAGAATTCGAATAACACTATTGGATTCTACTCTGAGTAATAAAAATGTATAATTACTCTAGAAGTTTAATAGAAGAATCGTGATGAAAACGATCATAAACGAAAATGACATCATTTATTAATCATAGCTAAAGATCGGAAGTTCAAATAAATATATATATATATATATATATATATATATATATATATATATATATATATCCAGAATCATTTTCTAAATTATTCAAGATGATCTTCACCCTCTCTAACTTTCTAGATTTCTGTCTGTCCTGGATTAACAAAGTGCTTCTCACGTTTCACGTACGATTTCATTTTCAAGTCTTTTTTTCACTGCTTTTTGGACTAACAGAGCTGAAATTCTTTTCTCACATGCTAAACGTGTTATGGACTGAGTTGTAACTTTTATAATCCATCTCTTTAGCTCTAAGTTGAAATGATGATCCCTCTTCCTGATCTGATCTTCTGATCCAGTTTTCCTCTCTATTGTTCCCTCTTTTTAAAATATGTTTAACGTTCATTGGATGCTTCTTGTATAGACTTTGAAAACGAAAGCCTGTGTATGAATGTTGGAAAAATTACTGATGGCCTACGTGATCTTTTTCCTCTTAACATTGCTCAGTTAGGAAAACAGTGAGAGGGACACAAAACGATTTTAACCTGTTCTCTTTCTAGTTGAATAACCCAAAGGGTCTGTCAGCATTTCTTCTCATCTTGACACCAGAAATGCGGTCAAGAGGATGACTAAACATCTTATCTGAAAACCTGTAAAAAGAAACTCAACTAGTTTTGCGGTTATTTTCTTGCACGATTTGGAAAATTTTGTTGTTACTACCGATATATCCTACTCATCCTCATAATATTCTTACTTTCTCCTCCTTTACAATCTCCATTAGCGCTCTACCTTGATTGTCCTTGTGCCTTGTATTGGATGAAGTATAAGTAAATAAATTATAGGTTTTTTTTTCACTTGGAGAATGGATTTAGGGACAGTACATATTGCTTCCCAAATCCATTCTTGGATAAAAATTGGTTGTCACAATTGACGCTTTTACGTTGCTACAATGATTTTTTAATGTTTTAGATTAAGCAAAATCGGAGGGCACTCCATGAGTTGGTCTTATTATTTACCCGAATTTAGCGACATATTCACTGTTCGAATTAACGGCATGGATTAAGGAATTGTTTTTTATAAATAGAATCTTTCGGTTTGTATATAGGTGGCGCCTTGAGTCATGTTGCAGGTTGGTCTCTCGATCAATTTTCGAAAGATTTCTCACTAGAACTTTCATATTAGACTAAAATAGAAAACGATCCTGCACAATTGTCCCTATCGACGATAAGCGACATCAGCCTGGATTAGAGAGTTGGCTCGTGAATTTGGTGATACAGTAATTGTGGTCCGTGTAATCCAGATTCATGCTCAGTGGAAAGAGAGCAAGCAGGAACTTAGTAGTATTAAATGAGAACATTTTACTGCCACTTCGTGTTGAAATACCGGTTCCCGTACGGTTATCGAATTTAAGCAAAGCCAAGCTTGGTCAGGGCCTAGATGGGTAACCGCTTAGGAACACCATGTGCTGTAAGCTTGGATGTGCTAGTGGTATAATGGATAATGACTTGGAATAGTTAATAGGAGAGCCGAGTTTCAATTCCAGTCGGGTTCGCTATAGGCACTTACGCGCAAATACCCTTGGGAATGGTATGAAAACACCTCTTCCCCTCCCCAGCTATAGCGTAATTACAAATAATTTTATCCCTAAACCCTTATTATTGTTAAAAATACAAAGATTCTTAAAATCTAAAAAAATATTTTATAACTTTAAATAACCGGCAGAGGGTTAATAAGATGTAAAAAATGAATAAATCAATTAATAAATTAATATGAACATGAAAAGAAAGCGAGCCGTCAACCAGGAACATCTGCAAATTAATCTGTAAATTAAATTCAAAATTTCTAGATCGATATGCACCTGAAGAAGGCTAGTGGTCGCGCACAATCACTGAAACGCTGTGATAATAAATAACAACAGGGACCTAAATAATGTAGAATTCACTTCAGTTATTGCATGTCCATTCGCAAAAGTAGGATTGATGTCGCCTAAATCGGTAAAGCACGTCAGGCTATATGACGGTTCCGTGTAGGATGATGGTTCGAATCCGGTCGGAGGAAGATTATTTTCCATGAAAATTTCTCGGACATTCAGGCCGGTAAATATCGTTAATACTGTTATAAACAGAGCATTTACTTAAATATTTCTATCTATTAAAACAGAATGTATAAATATAAAAATGCTAAAAATTTATCAAGGTCGATTTTACTGTTTTACGCATCGAGCAGATATGAATGAACGAAAGAAAATCATGGAGAATTGTAGTTTAAAAACAGGAAAATACTCAATTTCACTTCACCCGTGGTATGATTTTCAGGCGAAATAAAACTAAAGAATATAAAACAAACACTTATTAATAATAGCTTTCGAAACTATATAGTTGATGAACAAATAGGATGCTTTCTTAGAAGTCTTAATACTAAGCAAATAAAACATAATATTGCTTCAACTAATCGCAAACATATTAATGTCGCTGCTTGGAAATCTTCCAGGCAAACAAAACAGACTATCATTGTTGCTATGTCTGTGTAGTGTTTAATTTATTGCAATGTACTTGTCATCTCTGATGATGGCGTATGTAAGCTGAAAGCTTAGATAGGATTAAAAAACATGTATCAATATGGTGATTTTCTTTCGTCTTTCAATGATAATGTTATTAAGCTTATCCGACGATACGAAAGGAATTTCCTTAAAATAGACAAAACTTGTCTATACTATTTAATGAAATATGCATTATATATATATATATATATATATACAGTGATACATGTCTTACTAAGTAAACCATGACTTGGGGGAGAAGAGGTGGATTCAAACTTTTGAGAATATAACGAATACAACGGGAATTGGGTTCCCAAGTGGTCACTCATCTAGGTGCTGTTCAGGATCGACGTTGCTTAACTTCGGTGATCGTACGGGAATTGGTGTTTCAACTACTTGCCTTCCCTTCATGAAAACGTGTACTGCACGAAACCAGGTTGGAAATAAATGTCTGTAATATTCAAATGACAAGATTCAAGGGACCATCTTTATGAAAATTGTTTCCTCATTCCCTCATCCTCCTTTTAAATCTTCTGCCTTTTTTCTCTATTTATATTCAGTGTAAACAGGACACTTTACCTTCAACCCGTTCTACGTCTTCATATTACACTTTATTGTAAACCCCGTTTCGCTCAAAAACATTCGATTTCATTATAGCATGGTTACGATAAACCGCATTTACTTAATAATTTTCTTCTGTCCCACATTCCTTTCATCCATTTTACGCCATATTTATAACATGAGCACGTAAATCTTCCTCTACTGATCGGTAAAATAAGTACATCATCTAGACTGCATCTCCAAACAAAAGACCTGTGGTGACCCAAGTACATACTGAACTCGCTCTAATAACCACCAGGTAATACCAGATGCCTGAATTAAATTTAATGTCAATTAGAAACATTTATTCAAGAAGAGTTGATCCGTTGCGAACTAATAAATATACTGGGTTCACTAATTTTCACGAGGAATATGATGCTAATTAGACATATTTATTCTAAGAGGAGTTGATCTGTGGTGACACCAATATATACTGGCGTCACATGAAGAGTTATCAATGTCGACTTTGCACTCATTATTACACAAGAGGATGAAAGGTGGCAGGCGTATTGAAGGCTTGGTAACCACATAAACCCCAGGTGCATAGTCGGACATCAAAGGATGTGAATGGGTGCACGGATATACAAAACAATGTCGACCTATCTGAGCTTAAGTTGTGCAAACACGAGACATCATGAGAACAAGAAGCTAAAAGCCAGAATTTCTCATATCCCGGCGATGAAAGTCCCCCGAATCACACATCCTAACAAAAGTTAATAAACAACTCAGTGGAACTCGAACATACGCCCAATCGCTAAAGAGGAAAAACTGTGATTTTTTTGTTCAGTTCCAGTAAATACCTGATTCCTCTTGCTATCATCTACCTTTACAAACGCCAGATCAAAGAGAAACTGGTGTACCATATATATATATATATATATATATATATATATATATATATATATAGAGAGAGAGAGAGAGAGAGAGAGAGAGTGTGTGTGTTTAGACAGCATTTTTTCAGTGATGCATGTTTCATTAAATAATATAGACAAGTTTTGTCTATTTATTTTAAGTAAATTTCTTTCATATTGTCAGATAAGCTTAACATTATCATTGAAAGACGAAAGAAAATCACCATATTAATGCATGTTTTTTTAATCCTATCTAAGCTTTCGGCTTACATAAGCCATCATCAGAGATGAAAAGTACATTAAAATAAATTAAACAATACACGGACATAACAACAATGATAGTCACCATATTGATACATGATCAATGGTAAAACTACACAGTTTATGATGTAAATACGATAGATACAATACCTTCCTAATGCGCTATGTTAAAATTGTTAATTTTTAAATCTAGTCAGTTAATTTAACTTTACACTGATGTAATGGAATGATGAACGAAAGAAAGACAATGCTCCTCAATTACACCTGGGGCTTATGGGAATTAGTTTTTTTAATTGCAAATTCGCAGGTGTGTGTCAAAAAAAAACACAAAAATATTCATTTGGTGCTTTTATCACATGATTTTTATTGTAAAACGTCGCATCTTAAAGTCATATTTAACAGAGAAAGCAATTGCCAGCCAATATGACACACAGACCGATGTAATTTTGGCAAAATGGCATCTCTCATATCAGTTTTTTTTTGTGCTCAGTCTTTTAATACATTGACTGTTGATCGAGTTATTCTCTAGCTAATAATTTCCAGGAATTGTCTGACGCACGTCTTCGCTTCATGTGAAGGCAGCAATCTCGATTCAAAGAACACGTGGGGAATAATAATTCAGAAAAGCGTATCTTTATTCTGAAAAAGTTACTTTCCCCCCAATATCTACCCTTGCTTATTTGGATGTAAAAAAAAACTCACGTTTTAGACAACCAAAAAAGATCTTTTGAATGACAGATCCGAAAAGGTGTTAAGTGATTCTCATGGCGACGTCAGTTTCATGACTTGAGTTTCATTGAACGTATCTACGCTGTTCTGTGTCGTAAAATAATAAAAACGTCTAGACAGTTTTTCTCGAGAGAAAAAAATTGTTTTTGAATTTGAATGGCTCTTTTTCAGATATCTCATAAGAGAAAAGTGCAGATTTGATAACTCTGATGATTGAAACAACAAATATAATTTAAAACAAAAACTCACTAAGCCTTTTATTAGATATTAAATAATTCTTGATTGTTGAAATTTTACTTAGTTCAATTTGAAAATGAAAAAGAAAACGATTGATTTTACTATTTCCTTATACGAATGAATTGAATTAGAAATAACCTCAGAAATATTATTAATTTTCTCGATTTTTAATAAGTGTTTGCTCTCATTGGCCAAGCGGCCTAAGACACGCCAGATCAAATGCAAGGGCGACCCAGATTCAAACCCTGCCTGAGGGAAAATTTTCTTTGGATTTGCGTTGTGGTGTAATGCATTACGACTCGTAATGAGGAATTGGAGAGCCGAGTTCGAATTCCAGTCGGTTTCGTTATATTCATTAAACGTGCAATTACCCATGGGAAATACATGAAACCGTCAGTTCTCAAACCAGTTACAGGTGGAATAGCAGGACACAGTCGGCCGTATAGTTTTGGTTCACAACCAGTCTACCTAAGGAAGAAACGACAGCCTACTGAAGAAAATAATCTGCCCATTAATGTATCCAACGGAAGAGATATGATCGCCCAAGGGATTACCACGTATGGCATTTGATTTAATTTAGTTTGTGTTACGTCATTTGTCGGGAGGGGGGGCAAATAAAATAGACATAGATGGCTATTTCAACAAAATCAATTCTCACATGCACCTGTCATTGATCACAGTTAGCGTAAATGAATAAGTAGTCTTGTATAAAGTATACTATTTTTTGTATCCACCTCTGTATTAATAATTTAAAAAATGTTAAAGTGAATATTTCATTTACATACTTTAAATATCACTCTATATATTTATCTATTTCAGTCTGTTCATTGTTTCTTTCGATCTATTCCCGTCTGTTTATTTTGTCTTTTTTGCTGTTGTTTTTGTTCATTCACTATTTCTATCTATCTATCTATCTATCTATCTATCTATCTATCTATCTATCTAAGTCTGTTTTTTTTTTTCTAGCGAGCTAGCTAATTCATGCTTTCTTTCTTTCTATCTATTTCAATCTGTTCATTTTGTATCTATCTATCTCATATATATATATATATATATATATATATATATATATTTCACTTTGTTCCTTTTCGATCTATTTTTGTGTCTTTATTCTTTTTATCTATCTATCTATTTCAGTCTTTTCATTCTCTCTTTATTTCTCTCTCTGTCTGTCTGTCTGTCTGTCTGTCTGTCTCTCTCTCTCTCTCTCTCTCTATATATATATATATATATATATATATATATATGATATAATTATATAGTGAAGATTAAAAAGAGTTCGAAAAGAGAAGAGAAACCCGGAGAGTGAGAGTGAGCTTGTTTTTGTGCTTAAAGAAAGCTTGGGAACGTCTGCCATCTATTTTTCAAAGATTGTTAGAAAGAATGCCAAAAATCTTTAAAGAAATAATTAAAGTATTGTTGTAGAGTAGTTTTCACAGTGGAGACTTGTATTTTTAATAAGTCGTCCTAAATTAGGTTCGACGTACAAAACGTTAGGAACTTGAAATAAGAGTTAATGACACAGCAATCTAGTTGTGATGGTTGGTACTTCAATGTCCGACATCGACTGACTCGCTCAACACCACTGAGCCCAAATGGCGACTGCTACTACTACTTAGTATCTGTGGGAGAGTCTATTACAATAGAATAGGTATTATGGTATAACAAGTATGTGGTGGTTTTATTGACGAAAACAAAATATGATGCTGTTGTATGATAGATGTTTTATAGATAGGTGCTTATTTTTGTCAAAATAAAACCAAATACACAGCGGTTAATGAAATTGTTTCTTTTATTACGTAGTCGTTCAGCAATCTTTCCTTTGTTTCTAACGAAGTTTTCCTATATCTTAATACTTAGTTTCGCTTTTGGAAGGCATCTTTCGCTATTTAAATTCGCCTATCAGAAGAAATAATAAAAAACAATATATTTTTATTTAGAAGAAAATTAACTGCTTATTTTTTTTTAAAATGTTGAGTGCATTTGTTTATGGAAGATACTTCATACACGGAATGAAGAAAAGCAAAAACTACATAAAAAAATAAAAATTAAGCAAATTGATTTTTTTCTCTAGACGTTTCATTTCTTCTGATCACCACGTATATGTGCAACCTTTGCTATGCGAGATTCAACTTTATTTATCCTAGCAACGCACATACATTCTGACAATTTGGGATCGTTCGAATTCGTTTGCGAAGAAAGAAGGGGAAAAACAATTCTTGAAAAGGTCAAAGTACAACAAAAAATAATTCGAAAAATATATTTAAATTATCTCAAGGGAAATCTAATAATAGCAAGACTCACTAAAATATAAAACCCCGATTAATACCATTTTACAATGGCTAAATATCATTAGTACGAGATCTCACTGAATATACACTACAGGTAAAAAAGTTTTTGTTCCCCTACATTTAAAAAAATACCTTAGAATGAGATGTTTTTATATTTTTTAAGTAAATGATAAAAATTCAGCAACTCAGGTGTATCCCATTTTATTTGCCAGTCTTTCTCCGGGTTTCTCTGACTACCAAAAAGTTCAAAAATTGATTCGTCTGTTCTCAACGGAGTTTGCTAATTTATGAATATTTTTTTATAAGAAAAATTGTATTAATTTACATCATTAACTCCTCACTAAACCTTTTGAGATTATCACAATTTCCAACTAAGTTAAATGTCAATACAAATTCTAAATGTTAACTCAGCATTGAATAATGT